GTGTGTGCCTCATTCAGAGGATGCAGCACTACCAGAGAAATAACTGCTAGTGGAACTTATGATTGCAGACTCTCATTTTGTAATGGAAATGAATGTCTTTCTTTTTTAAGCACACAGCTGTTTCCTTGTATTGACACCTGCTGGATCCTCCCATACTTATCTTTCCCTTACCTGTGCTCCTGGTAGGTGGTGGCAGGGTAGTTCTGAGGCAGTGGTGGTACGAGGGGCTGGACATGCACTGGCCAATGGTGGCATCCCAGCACTAACACAGCAAACCTAGCTCCTAGAGAGGCCAGCAGGGCTGCTAAGTATGCACCTCAGCCTCCCAGAGATCTTAATCACCCTAATGTGTGTTGGAGGTAAAATCTGGTAACTCCTAGAGGCTCTGTAAGAGTGATTAGCACAAATAGTAACAACGCCAAAGGCTCACACTGTAAAAATCTCTTAGGCTGAAATGAAAACAGTTTCTGGTAATTTTTGTTTCTTTTCTTCATGCAAAGCTTTGAAACAAGGGAATCAGAGATAGGCAATTCCTTTCCAAGGAGTTTTTCTACGTATCTCCTTGTGAAAGCTGTTGCTAACGGAAGAAAAAGTAATGTTCTAAAAAAAAAAAAATTTGCACAGATGTAGCCATTTTTGAAATGACATCCCAGTTCCCAAGGATTCACTGTAGCCTTTCGTCGATCTTCTTTCTTACAGATCTCTGTGCTTTGCATTGTAATTAGCTCCGTGCGCTATCAGCAGCGCGATGCTCCCGGCTGTTTCTGCAGCAGCCGCTGCTCCTCGGCAGCAGCCCCGCACCTCCTCCCACCAGGTGCCATGCCAGCCGCATGAGTATGCCAATTCCTGGCACTGGCTGTGATGTGAAGGCAATGGGTACAGCAGAGCTGTGGAGGCTGTAGCCCACTTTGACATATTCTTAAGGGGGTGCTGCATCACGAAGCCAGAACTGACACAACGATGAATGAACCAGGGAAGCCCACGCCTGCAAATAGCATGGGGCTATTTGGTGCAATCTCTTTTGTTAATTCAGGTTTCAAGAAACATTGACTAGATTTTATTTTTATGTTTTGTAGTTGTTAAAATATATTAAATTTAGGTTGTCAGGGTTCCTCTGCAATGTGAGTAAGCTTGCAATGGAGAAGGGAAAAAAAGAGAGTGAGAGGGGAGAATCATTTTCAAATCAAGGCCTACAGACCCCTTTCAGACCTGCCTTAGGTACTGCATCAACACTCTGCATTGTATGCAGCCCAGAAGGCTAACTGTGTCCTGGGCTGCATCAGAAGAGGGGTGGCCAGCAGTGAAGAGAGGATTGTCTGCCTCTGTTCTGCCCTTGTGAGGCCCCATCTGGAATACTCTGTCCAGGTCTGGAACCCCCAGCACGAGAAGGATGTGGAGATGATCAGAAGGCTGATTGAAGAAAAGTTGAGGGTGTTGGGCTTGTCTGTAGAAGAGAAAGTTGCAGGCAAACTTCACTGCCACCTTCCAGTACTTGAAAGGAGCTTACAAGCAGGAGGAAAAACAATTTTTTACATGGTCTAATAGCAAGAATAATTTTAAATGAAAAGTGGGGAGATCTAGATTAGATATTAGGGAGAAATTCTCCACTCAGAGGGCGGTGAGGCCCTGGCACATCTGCCCAGAGAAGTTGTGGTGCCCCATCCCTGGAGGTGCTCAAGGCCAGTTTGGATGGGGCCCTGGGCAGCCTGAGCTGGTGGGGGGCAGCCCTGCCTATGGCAGGAGTTGGGATGGATTATCTTTTAGGTTCCTTCCAACCTAAGCCATTCTGTGCTTTTTTGATTTTATGATTCTGTGATATCATAAAGAAAAATATATGGCCCCAAGCCATGTGAAATTGAATTTGCTTGCTGTGTGCAGGACATTAACTCCTAACCTCTCTAACCTTACTCTGGGAACTTTGATATCAACAGTAACAAAAGATACGTACCAGCAAGTCAGAATTCAAAGCAAAAAATACATTTAAAAATTTATCTTTGGCATTAAAAAGATGAAGAACAAAGAGGATAGTACAGGAATGGAATTCTTTTCCAAATATTACTATCATTTTTTGCATAGCATTTCTTTGGTCTTGTGTTTCTTTCTTTATTTTTGCCTTTTGGAAGGCGTTGTGATAATACTAAGAGAGAGATGTGGAAATATTTTTACTTTCTGCCCAGAGATATGTACTGAGAAGAACAGCTATGGCTTTAGTTCTGCAGTAATGGAAAGGATAATTTTTTGCTGATGAGTATTTGCAGACTTATTTTATTACACTTCTAGGAGGGATATTTCGTTTTGAAATAGAAGCTTGTTTTTGAACCTCCTCTGAAATAGCCTACTGCCAAATTAACCCTCAGTCATTTTGCCCTTGATAAAAAAGTAACGAGCACTATTTTGCCATCAGTGCATTGTACAGATAAGGCATATAGTGATAAGTCAACTCATGCCTCCTTGTCTAAGATGACAGTGGAGAGCAGTGAACTTGAAGTCAAGCAGCACAGTCTTGTTTTGTAAACAAGGCATGCAAGATGGTGGTTTTACTCTCCCCACTGTTGTTAGTGGGATTATAAAATAGATGATATAGAATGCTTCGGGTTGGAAGGGACCTCAAAGCCCACCCAGCCTCCAACCCTGCCGTGAGCAGGGCTGCCCCCCACCAGCTCAGGCTGCCCAGGGCCCCATCCAACCTGGCCTTGAGCGCCTCCAGGGATGGGGCACCACAGCTTCTCTGGGCAGCTGTGCCAGGGCCTCACCAAGCTCTGAGGGAAGAATTTGTTCCATATATCTAATCCAAATATCCCCACTTTTCATTTAAAACAATTTACTCTTGTTCTATCACTACAGTCCCTTCCTTCTGTCATTTCAACTGTGCCACTCAGCCTGGAGTAATCTAAAAACTCATTGAGAATATAATTGATCTCACTGTTTATGTAATTAATAAAGATATGAAGCAGTACCTATCCCAGTACAGACCACTGACAGACAGCACTCACCAATGACTTCCAGAAGATCGCAGACCAGGCTTTAGGGAAAGAAAATAAAAAACAGAGGGAAAGCCACAGAGAAGAGGCAAGCAAAAATTGCTAATACAACTTTTAGAATTCTTCATTATCCAGAGACAGTTGTGCTGTTTCTGTATGCATGTTTCTGTCTGTCTTGTTAGTTTCATTGGTACCAGGAACTATTTTCTTGCATCACAGCAGCAGGGAAGGTGGGGAGCATTGTGTGCCTCATGGGGACAGGGATGCAATGAGAACAGGGCTGTCTGTGCGGGACATACTCTTTAGCATTGGTATGTCAGATACAAGTAATTCTCCACAGTCTGACTTCATGGAATGCTTAGTTCCTTTTTCTTTGATATTAGTGGTTTATAGTTCCGTGGATCTGCAAAGCTAAAAGAATGGTCGCATGAGGAAGAGTTAGCACAGATCATTTGTCTAACAATCAAGGGCCATATTCAGTAAAGATCTGACAGGACTGCTGACAATGCCCTTGTGTCATTTTACGAATTGATATGAAATAAAAGCCACAAAAAAATTACACAACATAGATTTTTCCCTTGCATCTGCATGGCTGTGGTACTGCTGACCTTGGTTATAGCTTTTAGGCTATGGGAGAATGTGAATTCAGGCCTCCTCTGTGCCACAGCTCAGGCTGGGGAGCAGCATTCAGGGTGTCCAGGGCAGTGTCTTGCAAAACTGGCTGATGGTATTGTTTTCGTCTGTTGGGCACATGGGCAACAAATGTAGATGCTTCAGAGAAGTATGGTTTTCAGGTAACAAGAGCTCAGCATGTTGGAAAACCAAATTCTTTTGATATTCTTTTATGTTCCTTCATCATCTTGGTGGCCCTTTGTTGGATTCTCTCCAGTATGTCCATGCTTCTCATGTACTAGGGGACCCAGAACTGGACACAGTGCTTCAGCTGAGGCTTTACCAGTGTTGACTAGAGGAGAGGGATCACCTCCCTCAACAACTCTCCTCTTGAGATACTATTAGCCATCTCTGTGGCAACAGCTCATTACTGGCTGATATTCAACTTGGTATCCACCAGAAAATGTTGTGTGGTGATATAAATCCCTAGAAAATTTGCAACATGCAGTAGCCACCTGTGTCTTCTGGAGAACTGCTGGCCCTCAGCCTGGCTTCTGGAGAAGCACAGGCCCTCAGCATCAGTTGGTTGGAAAAAAACCTCTCAGATCATCTAGCCCAACCATCATCCCGCCCCCACCGTGCCCACATCCCTCAGTGCCACATCCCCACAGATCCTGAACACTTCCAGGGATGGTGACTGCACCACCTCCCTGGGCAGCCTGTGCCACTGCCTCGCTGCTCTTTGTGAGAAGAAATGTTTCCTAGTGACTCTAGAGTAAGCTGTGCCATTCAGAAGAGCTGAAGAAGATTCCTATGCATCCTCAAACTCACAATATGCAGGGTGGGTTTAGGGGTAAGCATTTTTTAAGAAGTAATCACCTTCCCACAACTACTGTGCTGCCCAGTCAGTGCTCAGTGGATGTCCCTGCAGCTCTCCCCTCAGTATCACAGCTACCCTATGTACTGTCAGACTTCACACAGGCAGTGTCACTGCAGAAACTTTCCTGCACAAAGGATGCAGACAGATGTTATTTATTTGATATAAACAAATGCACATATTGTATCTGTGTACAGACAATAACCATTTTGCTTATGCTTATTTATAAGCAGTATATCTGAAACAGCATGGAGCACACCCAAAAGTGGCACAAACAAAATCATATGAATTTATACAAATATGTGCCAATCAGATGTAAACACTGCAAATATTACATCTTCCTGTGGTGGTGACAGGGAATAATTTGAGAATTTTCAGCAGTGCAACTTTCAGAAGCTGGAAAGACTTGGCCTCATTTTGAAACTGTAATAGAATTTTGAATGTATTTCATGTGACAACCGTGTCCTCAACCTGCTCTTTGTTATTTCTTTTTAAAACACAAACAAACTGAATTTTCATTTTGTTTACAGGACAGTGGAACAGGAGATAACAGCTGCATTGAAGAAATATTGCGGGTAGGAATTCTTAAAAAAAAAAAAACCTTTCTTCTAGTGCCATTTTGTTTACTCTAAAAAGGGAAGAGAACAACAAGAATATTGCAATTACTGCTGTTAAATATATCACACTTTAAGATTGCCATCTTTCTAAGGAACAAGGAGGCAAAATTATTTACCAAGAAAAAGAATTGAAAATGTGTGTAAGCAACCTTCTAGAGCCTCTGGCTTTCGCTGCTACTTTGTGCCAGTACGGCTGACCTTCATGCATGCAGAAGCAGATAATGGGATAAATTATAAACTGAAATGTACAACGATGTTTCAGGTTTACAAACCATGCAAAGTGCATGTTTCCATTAATCACGACTGTCAAAAATCTTAATTTTGAAGGGAGGTCTAGGAAGGTCATTTTCCACCTGGATTTAATTAGAATCCATTATGTAATGTCATTATCTCCATTATGTCCATTATATAATGACAATGTGCAAAATCTGCAGTTATTTCCATATTTCATTATTATTTCTTTTATCCTAGTAATTTCTAGTTTATTTTCATGGACCAAATTAATACATATCCGGACAGATCTTGGCTTGAATCAACTTTGATATTGATTATTTTCTGAAGCAGACAAAATAATAACAGTGAATCATTTTCATGTATTTTAATTCCTGCTCTTTTCACTTCCCTTTCTACACTGACAATACAATATTTTTTTATATTTACAATTCATATAATAGTAAAACACCAAGCCAGGTGGGTGGAATGGTAAAACCTCTCTATTACTGTGTGTGCATCCACCTCTTGGACATCCACTACCCAAATATTCCAGATTGTTTATAAACTACAGGGCTATAAATATTTGGTTTAGAGATTAGCAGTGCATTAAGACTGTTGTTTCTAAAGGCATTTCTCCATTCTCCATGAATATATTAAATACAGCTTTTAATTCTTGAACTGGACAAAGAGTTTATTGAAGGTTGATTATGATGGATTGCTTATGACTTCACTGGCAGAGCTTTTACTTAGCTAACATTTACAAAGTAGGCTGTTGTAGGACTTAATTGCATATCCAACAAGTCTTAGACTTAATCTCTATTCTTTTGTTACAAGTTGGTAGTGGATATTGTAATTCATGAGAGCTTTTTCTTGATGCGCTGAGATTATGATGTGGGGCTCATTCACCCTTTTTTTTTTTTTTTTTTAATATAGGACTTTTTAAAAGAACAGCTAAGAAAATCAGTTTTCCTCCTTAAATACAAATTGTTCACGTGGTCAAAAATGGAAAAGACATGGCTCCTTCCATGTGTAGGAACATGGATATGTAAAAGATTCTAATCTCATACAATCCCATGTAGTGCAGAATGTACCTTCAGTTGTAAGGTACATCTTCAAACTGGTGAACACAGTTTCTCTCTTTCTTCTTTGTCTCTTGGGCACCTTCCTCAAGAAATATTTTTGTGAAGCTTCATGATGAAATGTGCAGCACATCCTTGGATGGATAGGACCCTTTTGTTCTTTGGGATTTATTCAAAAATTCTTTCACTTTGCTTAAATGAATCAATTAACTGCAAGCAGCTTTCCCAAGATCGCTTGTTCACTTCTCACAGGTCATGGTGCTGCAATCCTGTCTCTCCCTGGAGAAGGCAGCCAAAGAATAAAAATACCTACCAAAAATACCTGGCTGAGGATCTGCATGGGACATCTCCTGCCCTGCTCTGCAAAGCACTTTGTCCCATGTCCTGCTACTTCCCCCAGCTTCTTTTACCTTTACCAACTTCCTTGATTTCTGATTCTTTCTGATTTCCTTGATTCTGCAAAATCATGTTCAGAAGACTTTAAATGATGCCACGAGACATGTAAGGCTTTCAAAGCTGAGACCGTCTCCTTACAGGGCAGGAGGTACGGGGCAGTTTTAGTGTTGCTTAGAGCTCTAAAGCCATACTTAATATCAGTATCTCACTGTCTGCTGAGGGTTAACACAGCAAAAGTAGAAAGCATACCATTTTCACCCTCAATCATGTCCTCTCACTCACTCTTCATGGATAACCTCTCCAGTCTGCCCATCCTCTATGTCTGTAACCTGAGTATCACTTCACTCTAAAATTCTCCCACATTTCTGTGTCCAAGACTACATGTAAATCCTGCAAACTAGTACTCTGTGACATTTCTAACTGAAGCTCTTTGTTCACAAAGGTCTAATTCTGGTCTGATTTCTCATTACACTCCTTGATTACTGCAACATCCTTTTCTTGGTGCAATCTTGTCCACATCCATTCATGCTGCTGTGTGGATCATAATCCTAACTTGATATCTGTCCCATATTACCTTTGTCTTTGCATCTCACCACTGTCATCTCCTTCTCTATTATGTCCAGCAGAGTTATTTGTCTTCAATTCTAAGGCCTCAAGTCTACTCAAGTGCTGACATATTAGCTACCAGTTAGCTGTCACGTGATGCCAGATTCCAGCACACAAATTTAGTGTGCTAAATTTTACATGAATTAATTTATCCCATATTTCTCATCAGATCTGGGAATAGCATTAAACACTTTCCAAATTACCTCCATACCTACCTTCAGATCCCCTCTTAAGAGTCTCCTTTTTCACAAGGACTCTGGGAAAACAGCAGTGATGTCAGCTGTATATCTGTTTCTCATGCTTAAACGTTGCTGTCCCTCATAGAATCATAGAATATCCAGAGTTGGAAGGGGCCCAAGAAGTCCAACTCCTGGCTCCATACAAGACCAGCCAAAAATCAGACCATAAGTCTGAGAGCATTGTTCATAGGTCCCTTGTACAACCCAGCTAGGCCTGATTCACCCACCTGTTCTCATTTTCTTGAAAGATTAACTCTCTGAGCCAAGGACTAGTATAGTACAAAAGCTGTTCATAGGTACTCTTGCAATACAAATCAGTATCAGAGTGCTCGTTGTTACTGGCATTGGTCTAAACAGCAACAGTAATAGCTACTCGCTTTGTAAACTTGGCATCCACACTTTTCCAGATCTCATCCTCCATAGCCTCTTTTTGTGCTGAATGGGTCAATTCACTTCTAACACAGATTTATTGCTCTTCAGAAACGAGGAACACCATTTCCATGTTTTTGTTGGAGATGCTATTTCCATAGCAAAGCCAGAATTTGCTTCTGCTAGGCAGTTCCCATACAGGTTTCCAGGGCAGAACAATGAAAATCCAAGGGAGTTGCGATCTTTGTGTTCCCCTCAGAAAAGATAGCTCTTCAACATCACACCTAAGCATGTTTATAACAGGAAGGGTCACTCTTCCTTTTGTAATTAACAGAACATCAGCAAAAGGAAGAAGTTGTTTACAAATCTAAATTTTGAGAAACCTTGCACCCCATTATAATTGTCTCTTCCACAAGACAAGGCAGAAAGTAGCCTCCCTTCCTAGACAGTGTGTTCCCTGCCCAAGCTGCTCTTGCATGGGATAGGCACTTCATGGTGAGCCAAGTGTCCTCATTTCCCTGTCAAGATGAAGGGTGATAGAAAGTGTGCCCAGCACCTACTCAGGCTTCTTCCCTGTGTGCCCTTCCCCCTAATGTGTGGGAGGAGGTGAGAGCATGCATCCTATCACCTGCAGGTTTCAGAACCTGACCAGACCTAACATCTGTGCCAGGACTTCCAGACCAGTTTAGGCATTGCTTAAAAATCTCCCAAGTCTTATTTTGCACCAACCGTGTCAAGAAGATTGTATAGAAAACCTATGTGTGGTCTGTGTGTAACACAGGGTGCCACAGCTTAAGTCAAGCCTTTTTTGATGTATTTTACTGAGTGTATCAAAGCTCTGTAGACTTTGTAAATTGACAGATCATTCTGCACAGAACTGCAGCTTCCAAGCAAAGCCCCCAAGAACTGAAGCACAGAACTGCTTCGAGTCCTGAAGGAGGTTGATTAACAAGACAGTAACCCTGTTGAGATTGGAGCTGCTGTATGGACTCCTGCTGAGTTTATAATCACTGCAGGAATCCTGTACCTAATCTAATGCCGTGCACTAATTCATAGCAACTTCTTCAAAGTGTAGTGACTTCTCTGTCCAGCTGCAGGCACACATGTCAAGGATAGAGAAAATTATAAGGAGAGTGTTCAATATAAATAACTGCAATTGTTCTGTCTGGAAAAGAGGAGGCTCAGGGGAGACCTTACCACTCTCTTCAGTGACCGGAAAGGAGGATGTGGCAAGGTGGGACTGGCTTCTTCTTCCATGTAACAGTGATAGGATGAGAGCAAGAGGCCTGAAGTTGCCCCAGGGGAGGTTCAGTTTGGATATTAGGAAACATTTCTTCTCACAAAGAACGGTGAGGCAGTGGCACAGGCTGCCCAGGGAGGTGGTGCAGTCACCATCCCTGGAGGTGTTCAAGAGCCGTGTGGATTTGGCACTGAGGGATGTGGTCAGTGGGCATGGTATGAGTGGGCTGATGGTTGGACTGCATGATCTGAGAGGTCTTTTCCAACCTTAATCATTCTATGCCAATTTGCAGATGTTATGTCAAATTGAGAGAGAAAAGATGCATTATTTCATTGTTGCTATAAAAGGTAATTCCTTGTAAGCTTTCACATTGTAGATGGAGGACATGCTAGAAAAGTCTGAAGCAGAAAATAGGAGTTATACTATTCAAATATCCTTAATTCCATGCTGCCATGAGCAGTTGCTGCCTGAATTGCTGAGATATCTCCAAAGCCAATCTATTCCCTGTGTCTCCTGAAACACAGTCTTGCTAACTTCGTAATTTTAGCTGATTTCTATTTGCTTGTATGTGTGTAACTGCATATTCTGTTATTACAGGTGGGGTTTGGAGTAAATATTTATTTTGCTGTAGTACATGCAAAAAATGGGAGCAGAAGTTCTGCCACTCCACTAAGTTAACTGTTGCAACCAGTATCTGATACAGTCTGAGTATATTTGCAATGGATTTAAGGAAAAAGGTTGAGTGCTGGATGTAGGCAATTCAGGATTTGTAAGATAAGTGGTTTGAGATTGATCTAGCTGCTCTTACAGCCTTAG